GACTCATTCCTAATTGCACATTTGGTACATGAATGAAATCTTAAGTGGGTTCCCTGTTCTCTTCAAAGGGGAAGCACTTTATATAGAATATGCTTTAAAGAAATAAAAATGATCATAGTGTCCTTCAAAGCCACTAAAACAGTACAGAGCACTGGCAGGAAGAACGGATAGTATGGCAAAAGATCTCTTCATGCCTGTTGCTTATAAAGCGGCAGACCATTGCTGTCTTATAGTTCTATTAAGAAAGAAGACAACTTAATTGCCAGATCTGGTAGACCTGGTAGACACCTGAGGCAAACATGATCTATTTAGAGATTTCCACAAAGTAAGGATGCACAGTGCTTATTTCAATTCAACACTGCAACACTTTTTCAATCCTTTATTTGATCCTGCCCACTGTAGGGCAGAATCTGGTGGGATTTCAACCCTCTGGTTTAGTTATCCTTTATGACTCTATTTTGCACCAATACACAGTAACCTTTTCTCCCCACCAAAGGAACCAAGTTGGCAAGGAGCTCATTCAGTCTTTCTTTTAATACCCCAAACATTCCATAGCTTTATGGTGACATCTCTATCTTTTTTGGAACAAGTCTGACCTCTTGTCCTTTCTATTGGCAGCAAATAACTTATTATCGTAGGAATAATAAAGAAGGGTGTTTATCATCAGCCTTTCTGGAATAACAGCATGTTGCTATTTAATCCCATGTTCCAACATAGTAATCCTATCACTTTTATTGGATTTAAGTCTGCATAAGGGCAAAAGACTGCCATTAAATCTGACTCGTCCTTGCATTAGCTTTTGCTATACATTGCATATTTTAATCCAGCTGAATTGGAAAATCCCTTTATATTCTATGTTTCTATGTGTTTTAGTAAATGCATACAGATAGACCACCGTTTACAATCACAATTGGGACTGAAATTTGCATCACTATCCAATGCAGTCAGCAAGAGCACGTGACTCCCTTGCTTAGCAACAGCAATCCTGGAAGTTCCTATCAAAATTCCAAATTCATGGGTGGTTAAGCGGGAAGTGGGAGGAGTCCCAGTAAGGCATGTGGCAGTACTATTGGGGATGGGGGAGGCCCCAGGAGGCCTGGGACAGTATATGTGCATGTTCAGGGGGAATTGCAATCTGGATTCTGGACCAATTTAGGGAATGCATACCCTTGACTCGGGGATTCCTTGATATGCTGGGGTTCTAAAGCTGAAAGAACTGCAACTATCCAAGCCTGACCCAGCAATACAGTGGAAAACCACCACCGTCTGGGAAACCACAGTCTTAGGAAACCGACATAGGCATCCTCATACTTTGCACTCCTAGGCCCTGCTACCTGCTACTCCACAACTCCAGCTGATCTCTGTTTTCTTCTTCCTCCCACTGCCAATGAGATATGCCCGGTCTGGCTCTTTGGGAGGAAGTTGCTGGCCGCATAAAGTGATCTTTCCCAGGTTTCATGTGGCAATGGCCATATGTGACCTGAAGAAGAAAGTTTTGGGTGGCCTGCAGCTGCCTTGCAAAGGGTCAGACAGGCATGCTTGGTCAGCAGTGGGAGAGAGAAGACAGCAAAGGGTAGCTAGAGCATCAAGGCCACAGAATTTAAAATAGGGGGCCAAAAGGACATAAGTGTGTGTGTATACAGGGGGAGGGAGTTGACATTCCCCTGAAGTCAGAAATGCAGATGGGCTGCCAAGCGGCTAAATTTTGATCACATGATCGTGGGGCACTACAACAGCCATAACTTTGAGAACCAGTCATAAGTCCCTTCTTTCAGCACGGCTGTGATTTCAGTCACAGTCCTAAGTCAAGGACTATCTCTAGTTTTGTTCTTTTTGTTTGTTTGTTTGGTTGGTTTAAAGAGCAGCCGTTGTAATGTTGAATGGGACTCAGGCTCATGAGGTGGGGTACTTCTTTCCATCTGCCAACACCTCATCTTTAATGTAAAACAACCATGCACACACACAAAAAAGGAATCATATAACATAAAGACCTCAGTGGAGGGCAAAGCTTTGTTGAACAATCTGCTTCAAAGCCCGACTCAAGTTTTGTTAAAAAGGAAATTCTATCCTATTATGGGAAGGGGCTTGCTTATTGCTGTTATACAGTATAACATTTTGAAGTGCCACATATTTATTGCACGTCAGCTATGCCAAAAGGAGACATCATAGTTTAATGGAACAGCCCCACACTTTTGTGTAGCCCCGCACTATGTGAATAGTTCGCAAAAGCAACCTTCTTTATTTAACCAACCACAAAATAAGTTAAAGTGATCATGTCTCTTTTTTTTCCTCATGTCCATTTTGTGAAACATCTCTGCCATAAGCAGCTTGAACATTGAGTTAGCCACCTTGCTTCAGGGAACACTACTGACTTTCCGATGAAAACAATCACAAGTCCTGAGGTGATTTAAAAACAGACAAAGCTAATTATTTTAAAATGGAACTCCCTGATTTAAAGACAATGACCAAGGGATCTTTAATTTTAAGTTATTTAATTTTAAATGTCATTATATTTAAATTTTGAATTATTATTAATACTAATAATGCATTAAAATCAAATTTATCTGGATAGTAATATTAATTAATATCACTAATATTTAAAGTGTTTATTTAACAGACCTCATGATGTGCCATTTGTATGATGCTGCAGAGAAGTAGGGTACTGATGCAGCACCTTCTTGTTTCATCCATCTGAAGGAGATTATGGATTTTTGGTGAGCTGCTTGCTTTGCTTCTTGTAAAAAGCATCACACTAAAGAGAGACTAAACTGACCCCTTATAGTTATTAAGAAAGAAAGTCTGCAAGAAACTTGTTTTTCTCAAACCCCTCATAATGAAATAATAGAGCCTATTAGGTGGACTTTGAAACTAGGCAGCTTAAGAGCAGAACATCCAGGTGTTATTTATTGTCCAAAGGAATAAGAGCTACAAATTCTTATATAAAGAAATGCTCCCAATCCAAAATAGCAGTGCAACTTCACTAGATTCAAAGCTAGCATCTTTTCTGCCCTTGAAGAACCAATCTCTCCCTCTTCTTCCCTCTCTGTCTATCTCTTCCATGTTTCTCGTATCATGCATTTTTAGATTATGACCCTAAAGGCCCGCCTTTCTTTTGTTCTTGATTTAAATGATTGGCCTTAGTACAGGAGTGAAGGAGGCAAGTAGTTCACAAAAATAAAAAACAGCGGAAATCAGTTTGGATGGACATTACCTAATGGATCTTTTTGCCATACTAATTTCATTTTAATCAATCCTGAACAAATGTTCAATGTTAAGAGCTTTTGTAATATTTCAGAAACCACTACAGGATCAGGTACTGTATATACTTAGGTGTTTATACAATATTTGAATATTATTAGGCAAACCCTACATTATTACATGTAAAAAGGTATAGATTATGATGTTTTTTTTAATTTTTGGAAACCAGATAAACCCTAAAGATTCTTTTTGCCTCTTGCTGAATAGACAGGCTGCATACTAAACAAAACATCATGTCTGCTTTTACTGCATCTGTCAGCTATGATAGTCAACACAAGATCCTTTTCACAGCCAATTCACCACGCATTCTGGGAGACCTTGGCTCTACAATTATTTCATTTCCTCCCTTGCAAATGTAATTTCCACTTAGTTTTTTGGAATAAAAGGTAGACAAAAAAGGTAGCAGGGGTAGCAGAATATACTGATTAACATTATCTATTCAAAGAGGTGAAAATCTACAGATGAACAATGCTGTAGTTTATAGGAAACAAAAATCAGCTCAGATCAGAACTAAATTGCCTTTTATATGGTTCAAAAGTGGTTAAAAATGCAACCATGTCAAATTAAAGAAATTTAATCAGAAAGCTACAAAAAAAAAAGTACAGGATTTTTTTTTATCAGACAGTGCCAGTGATCAGAAAAGGAGATTTTCTTTTAACACCCAAATTTAGAAGCAAATAAAATAAAACCATGAAGGCAAGTGACAGAGGAAATAACTCCCTTTTCTTTTTTACAAATGATAAAAGCATTAGTATGGAATAAAGCAGTGCACGTAAATAGAAGTGAATTGAATTTCCACTTCATTTGTTGAGGTTTACCCCTTTGAACTATGAGATGCAGGCCTTGGAGAATGGGTGTTCCTTTTTCCACTGATAGAGCAGGAAATCAGAGGTTTAATTAACCATTATTATAACATTTGTCTCACCTATTTCTTTTTTCTTTCAGTAATAAACTGCCTGACATCCTGGAAAAAGGACCAAATGAAAACCTGAGAAGAGTTTCTTAAAAGCTGTGAATTGTTATAAAACAACTGACCCTCGACCGGATCTATCTGAAGTATGTATTTCTGAAGAGGGATTAACTCTTTGATGATAAATCAGCACTTTGAAAGAAAATGTACAGTCAGGTAACACCTTGTCCAACCGTACTAGGGATTTATTCAGCTAAACAGATGGAGGCTTCAAATGTCGGATCCCAACAACTTCAACTAGCTCAACAGCCTGAATCCCACTGATTAAGAGTTGTTTCGACAGCTGTGCCTCAAGCTGAGAAAATATTCATCTTCTTGGCAAATGTATGCTGTACTATGACTAATGAGATAATATTGCTACTAAATGTCTAAATTCAACTAGAGTCCTTGTATTATTTGGGTTGAGCAACTAACATGGCTGGAGATCAGTATCCTGGTAGCTGAAGTTGCAATTCTTATTTCCAAATTTTATGTCTTTCTTAATGTCAAAAATCAGGAACGCATCTCAAAGCTGGCACAAATAGAAGATTTGATGATGATTTGGGGTGATTTCAATGTCCCATTTTGGGGGTTGGAGACAGTTCAGGAATTCATGGCTGCCATGATGACCATGGCCATGTGCCAGATCATTACCTACCTAATCCAGATATCTGGCCACCTACTGGATCTGATCTTCATATTGGGGCAGGTAAGACATGATCTGATCCTGGGGATTTTTTTTCTCAGTGCCTTATTGAGGACCTAGTAAAAATGGATTAATGGGAGCCAGCAGTCTTCACAGTAACTGCTGCAGGAAGAGTAGATAAAAACAGTGACCAGCAGAACATCTGTTCAGCTTTGGTTGGTACACCACTCGCAGCCTTACCTGGAATAGAATGCTGTGAGGATGTTCACTCAAGATCTCATTCAGATTACTGTACCTCATTGTACACAAGGCTACTCTTGAAGGCCATCAGAAATGTCAACTGGTGTAAAATGCAGCAGCAAAACTAACAATTATGAAATTTTTAAAAATTTCTATGTGCACAGATGTTAGGTTTACTTCACCACTATCATGTACATGTGAACCATTATGAAATGTCATTGCCTTGAATAAGACAAAGGTTTCAAAAATATCTAAAATCTAGTACAAATAAAATAGTGGCAAATGTAGGATGTAGGTGTAGGATGAGAGTGAAGGTTGGTTCTCTGAGATTGTGGGTTGGTTTCTGAACATTTCATTACCAGGCAAGGTAACATCTTCAGCAGAGTTTAAAGAATGTCAGTGTTCTTCTGTTTATAAGGGCTTCATGTGTGGGTTGTCACACACCTTGAGGTCTTGATACATTCAACCTAAAGCCCTTATAAACAGAAGAATACTGACATTGACATCCCCTAAACTCCACTGAAGATGTTACCTAGCCTGGTAATGAAATATTTGGAAACCAACACACAAGCTTGGAGAACGAGCCTTCACCCTCACAAATAAAATAGTTCATAAACTCTGAAGTATGAAGCATTTGGAGACATCAACCGAAGTTATTACTTACTGAGTGACAACTGCAGAACTTGTGCTTTTGATCATTTTATGAGTCTGTTCATCCAGCTCTGAAGATTTGGAACTGAAGTTTCCTGCTAAATATTTTTTAGTCAATTCTGATTCTGTTCCAATGGAACCCAAAACTGGCATAGATTTAGATTCAGATGTAGCCAAAGTTCCAGTTGGATCTGAAATGTATAAGAGTCCGGCATCTGTGTTATATGTTGTTCACATAGCTTAAATCTATATATACCTTTAAATAATGTTTATACTGGGCATACAACTCCAGATCATTTATATCATTTCGAGTGTTCAGATCTCCTGCTAATATATTCCCAGTTGGGAACTGGGAGTTTAGCCTTGGGAATAAGATAATTAATTTCACCATATAAATCACTATTTTTTTCAAGTGTCGAGATACACTATATAACTACTGTGGAGAAAGCAATATGCTTGTAACCAAATAGAGCTTTTTCACCAAAGTTAGAGTCATGACCATAGAAACTTAGTTACTAGACTTAGAGACTAGTTAAGCAGGTTCTTTGAGGTTTACCTTCAGCCATATCCTTTGTCCACCTCTGACCATTCCTACTCTTATCAACAGATGCTGCTTTACTCAAATCAATGGGCCACAGATACCATGTTTTCTACAACAGTTTATCAATGTAAACTACATATTTCCCCCCAAAATGATCTGTTATTTAAATAGAAAAGAGGCACTATTTTAAAAAATGTAGTAGTTGAAAAAATTTTGTTTGCTCTCTTGTACACCAATGTTCATCCAACAACATGCAGTTTTCACTTTCTTCCTTCATGCTTGCATTATTTGGAAATGCATGGTAATGGACCAGAGAAATGAGGGAGGGGGCATGTTTGCATTTATAACTATTATCAGGGGAAAAATAGAAAACTTATTTCCTGACTATTTTTTTATTTGCCATTTTTTAGGACAACACCTTCCTAAGATGGCTTATAGAAACAGCAAAATCCTATACAATGCAACAGTTCTGCGTAGCAATTTGCATAAAACAAAGTTGAAGATGGTGAGGAATGTGGTCACCAAGTTGCTGAATGGGACACCTGGCCTGAAGATGACATTTTTGAAGAAGCTGCACTGGTTTAAAAATTGACTACTAAACCTGGTTCAATATTTTTATTATGATACATAGTTGGACCAGGACTTCAACAGATTGCCTATCCTATCCCATTAGATTTATAGTCTTGGTTGATTGCTGAAGTATTGGGGAAGATCCTGCTAAACATGCTGAGAAATTCTGAATGCTATCTGATGGCTTGTTATTAGCAGCCCTTTTCTGGAGCAGTGCTCTTTTCTTCTTCCTGAAATTTAAGAAGTGTTTTCTATATTACATTTAGGCAGCTGCTGAAAATTTAGCCTCTCTCCAGGTTTCCCCAGTACAACTGCAGACATATTTTTCCTTCTTTCCCTCCACATTTTAATGAATATATTTAGTTGAATATTGTTTCACATTGCATTAAGTACTGTTCTATTATTTATTTTACTTAATAATTAAAAATGCTTTAAGATGTTTCAGCATAAAGATTTACTAATTAAATAAGGCAAACAGAGTAAGGATACATGAGAATAAATTTTACTGATCATTGAAAAGATCTATCCAATGGTACTCAATCTGACTATGCCAAATTTACAAAAAAAAAAAAACTTCTTTTGAAGAGTATCTCAGTGGGAGACACATTTGTACAGCTGCAAGCAGCCCTTTAATTTACTAATCTCAAATGATTTAGGACTATGTTGTTTTAGAAATGTTCTTATCAAATGTCACAAATATATTAATGTTCCAGGCCATCCTGATATCCCTTTGTTATTATTAATATGATATCCAACTGTTAGTGTATCTGCTCATCTTATCAACTGAAAAAGTTCATATTAGTTGAAGAAGTCACAGCAACTTTTATCTCAATGTACAAAGGAGTAGAAGCTTACTTAGTAATCCAAGAGTTTACTAAGCAATACTGTGATGTTAAGAGCGCAACTATTATGAGAACACAAATTAGCTGAAAATATGATCAGAGCTCTGCCAAGTAATGAGGATTTGCATATTATAGTTCCGTAAGAAAAACTTGATTAGTGGAGTACTATTGAAAATGTAACACAATCCAGTTGCAGGTTCTGAAAACATTACTTACTGCTATCAGTTGTCACTTTTCTGAGTCTCAGAATTCTTTCTAATTCTGTTTCATTACCGTATGTGTCAAGGGATTTTAAACTTCTGGAACTTGCAGATGTATTCAAAGTCTCCTGCAATAAAATATGTCGGTGAAAAATGACCACTATGAGAATCAAGATAACTTAATGGTCATTGTAAATAAACCCTACGCTATCTATTTCTAAGTATCTTCCAAAATTATGGACCAAGTTATGATGGCAGCGCAAAACAAAACATCTTACGTATACAGCATGCAGTCTGGATTGTACCTACATACTCTTGAAAATGACTATGGAAACAAAATGAAAACACAGGATATAATTTTTACACTTGGCACATCTTTAAAGACTTAAGCAAAACAGCATTTAATTCCCAATGTTTCCTCCAATTAAGTTAAATCTTGCATTTTGTTAGTTCTTTGAATTTAACAGAGCAGTCATACTATTAGCAAATCAGCCCTTGCTATTGTGCTTGGGCTACAGATCTAGTAGCAAAGCGAATAGCAAAAGCTGTTTTACATCACGCTTGAAATGGAAGAAATGAATATCACTTTGTTTACCACAATTATACAGAGGCCAACATAAAATGCATAATTAGCACAGTAACAATATACATATAAGTATTTTGCTTTATGTCCCCTGATCCTATTCTTTCCATCTCACTGTGTTAATGACTAGGCTTGTGAGCGCATTAGAAGTTGGTTCTTATAAAGTACTCTTTTTAGTTCCAATACAGAAAAGATGTACAAGTAGCAGATTACAGTAGATCTTATTATAGCTAGTACTAAGATCTTATTCAGTCTACAGGCTGAGGACTTTAGATGGAAAAGGGGTACCCACATTCTTTCTGTAAAAGCTGCACAGAAACTGATGAAATTAGAAGAGACACCCACAGATCTTATGATATCTCTCTGCATCTTTTTTTTTAACATATGCCAAATATCACCAAAATTTTACCAGGGGAAAAAAACCCATAGTTGGCCTCCCTGCCTCTTTCCATCCCATTTCCACCCCTACCCTGCTAGATCGCCATCCAATTTACCAGTATTCCTTTTAGTTCTGTCACTGCATTCTCTCCGGGTTTGGCCACCTCTGGCTGTAATTAAAACAAAACATTCATCTAGATGGATCTGATTTTGCAGATGCTAAATAAAATATTTAAGAGTCAGAAAGAAAGAAAGAAAGAAAGAAATCACATCTACAGAAAGAAAAATAAAAGTAGGATTCCACAAGAAAGTATCTATTTTGAAGGATAAGGTTTTGGAATGTAGCAGTTATATCTTAAATGAATCTTAATAGAATAAAGTTGAGCAGGAAGGCAGGAAGAAGAAAAGTAGGCAGAAAGTTGGGCAGGGTTTGTGTGTGTGTTTGTTTGTTTGTTTGGAATATTTTTGACTTTTAAAAAAAAGAATGTTCTAACAGCTCGTTCAAGTATGGTTATATTTAACTGTAATAATACAGAATGAATTATAATGCTAGTGGTTTCCATTCTCCCCTGAAACTTAACAAAAACAACTTTTCTTGAGAATCAGCCTAAGAAGCTATTGAAGAGCAGGTGACTGACAAAATCCACATTTTTTTTAAAAAAAAGTAATAAGGTTTCTACAGTTAAATAACTCAAGTCATTTTAATCATACACATATTTTTGCTAGACATAGTTTACTCTACATGTGCTAAGAGCTGATTCAGCTACGAGGATCAATACATTGTATTCTGAGTACTAGGATCTTATTCAAATCTAAGGTTTCTCGTATCAGAAAAGGGAATCCCATGAATTGGCTGGTGGTTTCTTAATATTATTGATGGCCCTAACTCAATCTAAGCAATTACATAAAACCCTGTCATATTAAATTACATAAAAACCCTGTCATGTTAAAATAACAGATCAGAGCAGATAGGATATTCATAAAAAGAAAAGTTCAATTATAAGAAGGTGGTAGCCAATTTCTATAGAAAGTAACCCCTCTCCCTCATTTTTATGTAAATTGTTATCTACCAACCTTTGCCCTAAAACGGTTGATTTGGTTAACAGGTCTAAGATGAACTCCTTTTTTAATTCTATCCATCATTTCTTCTACAGCTTGTCTCTTCAGATCCGTTACTTCTCCTGTTTCCAAAATAAAGTAAAAATAAATTTAGCAAATGCAGGTCTTGGCATGTTCGGGTCTTTTCCCGTGTAAGATTGAGAGTATCTTGGTGACGTTTCGACAAGGTCCCACTCGCCATCTTCAGGCTGGTGCTTTTGGCTTTGTGCTTGTGCAAGCAAAGCGTGATCGGAGCTGCCGTCTCTCTATAAATACTGGTGGGGAGGATAGAGCACACAGCCAGCACCTCAGCCACACAGGTTCTTATGAAAAAGCCAACCAATCTGCAAATATCAACTCCATCAACCAATCAAGAAATAACAACACAGCCAACCAGCCTGCTTACAACAGAGCTAGCACACCACACCTCCCCACCAGTATTTATAGAGAGATGGCAGCTCCGATCAAACTTTGCTCGCACAAGCACGAAACTGAAAGCACCAGCCTGAAGATGGCAAGTGGAACCTCGTCGAAACGTTGCCAAGATACTCTCAATCTTACACGGGAAAAGACCCGAACATGCCAAGACCTGCATACCTGTACCCGTGAAAATCTATAAAAACAAATTTAGCAAATGTATCTACTTGCAGATAAGGTTGTGTCATACATCATTACAAGCTGAGTTCTTTGAATATATAGTAACTAGAAGTGACCAGGTATTTAGCCTAGAGGACCCTTTAAATCTGAATTGAAACTTTAATGCTAAATTAAAATAATTTGGTGCAATTGCAGGTTTTAAGATCAACAAAGACAAAGATGTTGGCAAAAATATGAAGTCAAAAGATCAAATAAGATTGAAGAATAAAATGGGTTTTGAGATTGAGAATAAGATAAAATACTTGGATATTAATATGACAAATATGAATTTTATGTTGTTTCAAAATCTTTGCATTAAGATCTGGAACAAAATTAAGAAGATGTGAAGAGGGGGAAAACCACAATTGCCATTGTCAGGGGGAATTACTTGATTAAGATGAATGTCTTGTCTAGAACATTAATTTTATTTCAGACATATAAGTGTTGACATCTGATGTATCACTTAAACAGTGGCAGAAAGACATATCTAAATTTGTGTTGCAGGGAGAGAAAAACGTGAGTTAAATATAAGATGTTACAAGATGCAGAAGAAAGAGAAGGGCTGAGCTTACCTGATCTGAAATTATATTTCTCAATCTGCTGTTTGGTCTGGATGAAAGAATCGATGTTGCCAAGAAACAGGAGATTTTTAAGCTTAGAAGGGCATGATTTAAGATTTGGGTTGCATGGATATCTATTATATGATAAAGGTAAGGTTAATGTAGATTTTAGAAATTATCTGTTAGATATGCCATATTAAGAATATGGAATCTGAAAATACCTTTGGGACTCTCAGCACAGGAATTATTTTATAGAAGAGAAATGATTACTAAACATAAATGGTTATGGTTACTAGACATAACTGGCTAAACAGACTTACTATCTTTAGAATTGGAATTTTCTTGAGAAGAATATAGAATAAAAATAAAAAGAACTGGCAATAAAAGGATGTTCCTATCATTGGTTTTTGTATGTATAATTATTCAAAAGATTGAAAGTAGATACAATAACTTGGTTTGAAACAAAGTAAGCTTGAATTTGAAACAAGAACTGTATAGTTGATCGAGTTATTGCTAAAATGTATAAACTTCTTTTATAAAAATATGAAGGTTCTGGGTTCAGTTGAATATCAATCTTTAAAATCGTTTGAATCAGTGACATGGAATCAATTTTTCTCAGAGTTATTATCAATCTAGATTTTTGTTTCCTAATTGGGAGTTTCTTCCTTTTGGCCAGGCTCCAAGGAATCATTTTATATCTTAGTAATAGTGGTGGAAAGGTTGACTATATGTGTATCTATTTTGAGTTCTCTATTCAATGAAGACTGTCTCTGAATATTTATGTCCCTTTCTTTTTGCTACAACTAGAAGCAAGAGTATCTTCATCTGTGCTACCTTTTCCCTTTATAGGACACTTCAGCAAGAAGTGGGAGTACAGAATAACGTTCTCACTTTCAGCCATTTACCTCCTTATTTACCAGAAAATCAGCCAACTGGAGAAGATCAGAGTGTATTTTATCTTGCTTTGTGTCAAGATAATTGAAGAGAATAGTAGTACAAAAGTCATTATACCCTTTGTATCTAAATCAATCTTCCACAGGTTGTAGCATTTTCTCTTGTGCTCTTATTCTCTTGTCCGGAAGGAAGGAAGGAAGGAAGGAAGGAAGGAAGGAAGGAAGGAAGGA